CATCCTTTTCCTGAATCTGTCTGTTCATCATTTGGGTTGTGTGAAGACGCTTTGAGTCTGGGATGGCTCTCATTGTATATCATGGGGCGGCTCTTTTAGTCCCTGGCAGTGTCAGAATTTTGATAAGTTCTAGGACCGCTGTTGGGATACCTGCTGAGATCTGTGTTCATTGATTATACAAGCTAGGAACAACAATGAGGATTAGCATGGTCAGTTGGTGTGCATGCCTTTCTGGTTTGATTTGCCAGAATATTTCTCTGGTTTCATGTACCTGTTAGGGTGGTTCTTGGGGAATATTGATTTATATTGTTAGACTATAAATCTTCTTTGACTTTCAATGAGGTTCCATCCTAATAAATTCATTGTAGGTTGAAAATATTGTAAGTTGAAAATGCATTTAATGCTCCTAACCTACCAACATCATCGCTTAGCCTGGTCTACCTTAAACTTGCTCAGAACACTTATATTAGCCTACAGTTGGGCAAAATCTTCTAACACAGAGCCTATTTTATAATAAAGTGTTGACTTTCCCATGTAATCTATTGACTACTCTGCTGTACTGAAAGTGAAGAACAGAATAGTTGCCTGGGTGCAGAATGGTTGTGCCTGCATCAGTTGTTCACCTTCATGATCGCGGGGCTGACTGGGAGCTGTGGCTTGCCACTGTCCAGCATCATGAGGGAAGATGGTACCACGTATCGCTAGCTCGAGAAAATAGCAACATTCGAAATTCCAAGTACAGTTTCTTCTGACTGTGCATTGCTTTCTCCTTATTGTAAGGTCAAAAAATCGTAAGTTGAACCATCCTAAGTCAGGGATGTCTGTATTTGAAGGAGAAGCAGTCCTGAGCACTTCCCCTTTGTGAATAACAGTAGCTGGACTAGCCTGGAGTGGGAAAATCAAGATTTTCATCAGTCTGTACACCACTGAGTTAGTAAACCAAAGATTGATAAACTAATTTTTTTAAATATCTTAGCTTTTTTTGGGCTAAGTATATGAAATCCTATGAAGCAAAATACTATTTATAATTCTTACTTTCCCAGATTTTGTTGAGGAAGTGGGTTGTATATAATTCTTGTGAAAAGTGTCATTTTCACTCAGAGGAAAGACCTCGGTGATCTGGTCACCCAGGACCTTTCTGATGCCCACACCCTCGCTCACTCTCCAGCTGACTTGGCCACCTGGCTCTTCCTTGCTGCCAGCACCCTGTCCACTGAGGAATTTTGAACTTGCTGGTCCAGAGCCTTACCTGGAGCACTCTTCCCCAGTGTAATGCACATGGCCATGTCCTTGATTTCCTTCAGGAATCTGTTCAGATCTTATCAGTGAGTCCTTTCCCCATCAATTTATTGTAAACAGCTCTGCCTCCTTTTCCTAATGAACTGCCCGACACTCCCTGTCCCATGTCTTCCCCATACCATCTTCCCCCATGCGATATACTCTAAACATTTCATGTTTATTATTTTTTTGATTGTTCCCTCTCTATGGGAGGTAGGGGTTTTGTGTGTTGGTTTTCTGTAGAACAGTGCCTTGCATTAGTAGGTGCTAACTACTTGTTGAATGAATAACTGCAATATGCAATTTAGTAAGTTTTAAACTATTACATATTTATGGGTAGAAAATACATTTATTCTTTCCCATATCATTGGGTGGTGGTGAATGAAGTAAGCTAATACTGGCTTAAGGCAATTGTGCCAGATAATCAAATTTGTTACGAATGGTTATTTAAAGTGCTCATTCCATTTACTTTTTGTAACTTCTTCCATTTGTACTTAAAATTAGAGGAAAAATTATGTATGTGTTGAAAACAAACATGTTTTGGTTTTTCTAAATTTCCTAATTTATCTGATGTGCCCAAAGATCTACAAACAAGGTACATTTTAAGAGAATTAATTTATTTTCCAAATCACATAGGGGCCGTTGTGGTTGACTCGCAGTATTTATTCAACCCTAGATAATTACTGTCAGGCAATTGTGGTCATCCTGTTCCTCTTGCCAGCTTAGGAATGGAAGTGGGTTCTGGTTTTGACTGTTAAAACCGAAAGAGAAGACTGTTGGGAGCTTCTAGGAAAGATTTCCTCACGCCTCAGAAAGAAGCAGAGCACCTTTCGCTTCTGGACCTAGTCTTGTCTGGAAGGGACCTCGCTTGCTGCGGGGGCAGGGCCCTGATTGGCAGCCTGAGGATGAAGCCGTTGCTGAGAGCAAGCCCCCCTGCCTCTGTACTTCTTGTGAAGTTAGATAATAAATTTTCTTCTTGCTCAAGCCTGTGTGAGTTTGTTATATCCAGCCCAGGAAGATCAAACCTGATAGATTCATTTCATAACATAATTTTGAATATTTATTTCAGTGCTCCTTCCTTGCCGTTTGTACCTGATAATAAATCTAATTTGAAAACCTTTCTTTTGATTGTTTATTGACCTTATATGTATGTATTTGCCTTGTTTGATTTTTGTTTACTTTTTTGCCTAAAATCTTAGACGAAACATGGATTTACCACTATTCTCCGAGGAGTACTTATTCATGGACTAAAATGGATGTGGGTGGCAAAATTTTCTTTGGAAACACAGAATAAAAGCTTGTAGGGTTAATTCTTCCATGTGGGTTATCAAAGCAATAAGAATTAGTCTAGAATGTGTTTTTTAAATTTTAGAAAGTTTATAGGGGTCTAGAGAAGGAGATGTGTTAATATGGTCCTTAGCTTCTTCGCAGTTTACGGTATCATTTGTTTTTGCGCTGACTTCACCTCTGGAAAATAGCTGTGACCAGGCATCAATACATTTACAATTCAGCTGCCGCTTTGGACAGAAAAGAAGACCACTCAGTATTTTCTCATGTTATATGCTTTCTCTGTCTCCTGTTGTTTTCACGTTTTACAATTTCAATTTTAGAGACAAATAACTTCCAGTTGATTTTGAGAAAGCTGACTACCAGGGGCACTGTATGTCTGCATAATGGTATACTAGTCATTTCCAACACTTTGCAACAAAAGTTATTTTCAGATGAAACTTTTCTCCAAATCCAGTAAGAACGGGATTTTCAGGCAGTTTAAATTTGTAATGTTTGGCAGGAAAATATTTTACTGCTTATTGAACCCAGAGAGCACAGTTTGAAAACCTGCTACATATGGGATTAGTGAAGAATGACCCTGTAATTTTTCATCCAGACTCAGATGCTTTTGAGAGTGAAATAATTATACCAGGGCAAGAGACATAAACTAGGACTGTCCCAGGCAAACTAGGCCCGTGGTGTTGCAATGGTAGATGCTGGAGCACAGATCGGAATCGCTTTGGTAAACAGTAGTGGGGAAATTGACGAGAGCCCCTCCCGCCTTCACAGCCCCCAGCCATTCTAGTGCAGCTGAGAAGGTTTGGCCCCGCGGAGAATCTCTGCAGCTGTTTAAAGGAGCAGAGTGGTCACTCTGTGGGTGTGTTCAGACCCTCAGCACGTGTTCATTGAGCGCCTGCTGTGTGCCAGGTGTTTCCTGAGGTGCTGAGAGTGCAAAGAGAAGTTCCTTGATTCTGCAGATTCTCAAGGTTTAGCCTGTTCATTTAGCAAAACCTTGGCGGGGAGTAGTTCCCTTAACAGTTGAGAGATGTAAGAATGGATTATTTAAGTGAAAAAGGGCATGGGAGTTTTCAGGCCTGAAATTAGAATATGAAATGTCATGTATTTTTATAGGCCTTTGTCTCTGCCCCTCCACCCCCTGAACTTGAACTACCTTAGGCTCTCTGGGTGTTGGTCTATGATCTCTTTGGAATCTACTTTATAGTTAGGAGTAGAACAAAACTGCATGTGTTGGTGTTTGTTTTACTAGTGCTAGGTTTTTTTGGTAAGTAGTGTCAGAAATAAGTAACTAGAGGATTTATGAATGATGAGGTGGAGTCCTGTGTATCTCTTTCTCAGTGTCTTTTCAGGAAAGTGGGCTTAGGTTTTTGTCAGTGAGAGAAAAATGGAGATAGAAAAGAGAATGATGAGGAAAAATATAAACAATCAAAAAAGAAGAGTAAAAGACATTGAAGTAAGAATTTTCCAGACAATAGTATATGTACATTAAGAGTTGTATAAAGGTACTTAAGATTAGGAAAATGCCTTTCCACTCCATCTTGACCTTTTCACTCTAGGCTGTTGGCGTGCACAAAACACTCCCTTTAGTAACAACTCTTGGTACCACTTTCTCAGTGGGGTAGTGAAGAACCCAGGATTTGGTAAATGGAATCGTCACACTCTTTTAACTTAGCCAGTTGAGCTTTCTTATTGGTTGTATTTAATTGAGGATGTATTTTAATATTCTACATATAAAATGTCAAAGAACTAACTTAGTATAATAGATTTTAGACCAGCATTGACTATAAAGTCAGCTTTCATGTTAATTTACCCTGATGTCTTATTTTCCTTAAGACATTAAAAAAACCCAACTTTTTTTCATACCTCTGAGCTCTTATATGAATAATATGAATAATATGATTGCTTGTATTAGCTTTAGATGATTGTAAATAATGTTAGGTATTGTTTCTTCTCATTTTTAACTATAATTTTCAAGAAGAGTGTATAAAAATCAAAATATAGAGGGCACACAAATAACCGTAGAAAGTTCAAATGCATCTTAGTTGTGTTTTTGCTGAATTCAGAGTTCAAGACTTAGGGGTTAATTAGTCACTTATGAACACAAGGAGCTTGAACTCATATTGAACTTCTTTTGGCAAGTTCAGACATGAACTTTCTATTTTAGAGATTTGTGAACATGTAGACAATGATTTTTTATTATTTAAGTGGAAGGTTAATTTAGATCAAGAGATGTTAGAGGCCCTTGTGAAGTTAAAGAGCAAACTATTTTCCTCCTTCACTTTTTAAGCGTATCAACATTTTCCTGTAGTATATAGTCTTGGAAACTGTAAATTACTTGCAGTATTGATGAAGTGTTTGAGAATATTATTTTTCCTCGTTTGACATGTCAAAACAAAACAAAAAAACTTAAGTTAACTTTGTGAATAAAAATGCAGGCCTTAAAGAAAGATCTGCTTCAAAGCCAACAGTCCCACCGGAAGAGGCTGAGCCATACCCGTGGCTGGAGGATCAGATCCTTGAGGGGCCAGGTAAGCGTTCTCTGATTCTGACCAGAAGTGCCTCAGCCTGCCAGGTATCCCACTGCAGTTTGCAGAATCATGTTTTACCCATAATTTGTTTCATAATGTTTACAGAATGATGAAATACCTTTTCTTTTTCTCTTCTGAAATTTTATAGTGAACTTAATTTTTTCTTGTAAAAATTTGCACAGCATAATTTTTATTTTTGAGATCAAGAATCGAAGGTGCAGATGGTTGCTCCTTGCCTGGGATCACACAGTTAGGAAAATCATGAACTAAGTGCTGTGTTTCTTGATTCCAATTCGAGGATTACTGCACCATATTACCTTGAGAGTATTGTACATTTGGAGTGTATTGTACACTAGTTTTGCCATCGTCTGTCACATTATTTAATAGAGTAGGTCTGCTGAGTTCCCAGTCTTTTTAACATGAGAGTCTCCTTTCTACCTCAAAAGCCTTCCCAGACTTCCATGAGATAGTCTGTGAAGCCTGCTTTGCATGAATTCATAGATCAATTCAAGTATCTCCTTATCACCCAAGGACCTGTGACCCGTAGCACGGAAACTCCTGAAATCTCTTAATAAATTGGTAAATGAAATTTGACTTTCCTTTTTATGCTGTCATATTTATTACAAAGTACTGTGTAATTTCTGCACATTTTTCATTTACTCAGTAGTTCTCAAAATTTGGTTTCATTTTGCCACCTACTGGAAGGGTTAGGTATGACACTACATCTTTACCGGCAACTTAAGCCCTGGGTCCAAATGGTACTTGGCTGATTTTATCACTGTGTACTGATGAGTAATATTTGATTTACCTTCCTTCCTTTTAAGACCAATATGTTGCTCTGATTTTTTTTAATTTGTTCAAATCATAATCCCAGGAGAATTTACTGTCTCCCTCTCATTCCTGTAGAATTGCCGTAATCATACCATAGCTCTGGAGCAAGACTGATAGATTTTTTTTAAGTTTTAATAACTTAAATATCTATTTGGATTTAGCATCTCAAACTTTACTTTGTACTAAATAAATTCATAATTTAAAAATCTTGTTTTTCAAAACTGGTAGCTACTCTGAAATGCTGTACCATTTGCTTCCACTCTTCCTTTTTTTATTTTTTGTTAATACTCTTTGCATATTACTGATAACTTGTCTTCCTGAAGCCATCAGTTTACTATCATCTCATATCCTTTTCAACTTTTTGGCCATATTGTTTTTAGTTTAAATGTTGCCTTCTCAACCTTTCCATTATCTAGGTCTCTAGCTTCTCTCTCTTCTCTGACTACCCACCTATTCTGTAAACATAGGTACAGGCCTTTCATTACAACACAATAAAATAATCCCCCTCTTGGTCCCTACAGTTCTGTCTATCTGCGCTCTGGTCCCTCTCCTTGCTGCACTAGCCAGGCTTTTTGAAAGAAAAATCTACAGTTGCTTTTTTGTCTTATTTCCCACTCAGTCTTTAACTCATCCCATTCTGGCTTCTGCCTCTCCCAGCCCTCCCTCCAGGAGAGGTGGAGCATCACAGTTTCTTGGAAAGATGAAACTGCATGGTGCACTCACCAAGTTCAAAGCCAGTGCTGGTAGCAGATGTTCTGGAGAGGCATGTGAGGGCTGGATTGTGGAGGGCTTGTGTTCTGTTCTGAGGAGCTTAGATTTTCATTTTTCAGGGAAAGGAGGCCATTGGAGGGTTAAGCGAAGGAGCAGAGCCCCACTGTCCACTTGTTATGTTACTCACATTATATTCTCTGTGGGTGATGCTGTCAGCAGGTGTAAAACTGGGAATCCACTTCAGACTCTGCCATGGGCGTTGTAAGAGATGATGAGTGAAGAATAGAGATTGCGGGCTCTTGCGTAATTATATGAGAATGTATAGAAATGGTTTGTGAAATAAAAGTAGAATACTTTTTGTGCTTCAGAAATGGTTTTGTAGTGTGACTTGCATTATAGATTCTTAAGCTTTTTTCCTACCTGAAGTTCAAATTAACTTATTCTACTTGTGTAATTGAAGATTAGCTCATCAGTATAACTGATGTCGTTGGCATTATTTCATGTGACAGCATTCATGATACTAAATCTAGTGCTACTCCTATTAACTGAACATAGATGATGTTTGTTAGAAAATTTATAATAGTATCAATGTAATTATAGCTTCTCGTTTTTTTGGGTTATGTTGCAGTAAACCTGATAATCTGACAAGCACCACAGTGTTGTCGGAATGTCATTGCTAACTAATGTTCAATTTTGTAATTAACATCTATTTAAGTCTATGGATCTGACTGCCAGAGGGTTCTCCAAAACTGAGAGGATTGTCAGTTGTAATGTCAGGTCTACTCAGGCTTCCTTGACAACTTCTGGGAGTGGTCAGCCAACCCCCACCATCCCAGCCCTCACGCTAGCAGAGGGACCCTTTCTCCTCTCTGTCAGGGAAGGCAGCAGCTGACCACATACGTTAATGTCTGTTCAGCTCATCTTCCACATTTTTATCCTTGTTTCTCAGTACTTCTATTAATGAAAGTTTTGCTCTTCCATTTTTTTTTATTCTATCATCTGTGAATTTTGTTAATTAGAAAGTGAAGTAATTTTACTTTGAGTGAGGATTTTTAGAAAAAACCTTGAGTTAAACTTGAGTTAGTTTTCTTCTTTTAAAATCTTATGGAGAAGTTTTTCAACATTTGTAACTGCTGTCAAAATAAAACCAATTTCAAATATCTACCATATTTGCCAACATAGGAAAAAAAGTGATAAACTGATAACAAAAAGGATGGAATAGTTGATTACCTACATATATTCATTTGAATATATATGCATGATGCCGTATTTCATCTTCTACATTAATGTCTGGATCTTTTCTACTTAGTTATGTTTCATAATTTATTTTAGGACCTCAGAATATTGAAGATGAAATACAAGAACAAATTCATTCCGTACTCCATGAAACGGTATACACAGAACCTGGTATGAATTAAAATCTTCTGTTTTTAGATGCATTACTGAAATAATTAGTTACATAAAATGACTTGGACATTGTTTTAAAATTTAAATAATAATTGAATGGGTTTTTTTTTAAGTTATTAGAGGACAAGTACTTCTGAAATGGCAGTAGACTTGTTCCTACTATTAAGGAACTTATTGCATGCATCTAATAGGAAATGGCAGGAATACATGAGAATAAACAAATTGAGACCCATGATACGTCAAGAACAGATGACAAGAGCAGGGCGGAGGAAGATAGAGCACACAGCAAGGCAGGCTGTCAGGGGCTGTCTGGGTACTGTCGCTGCCCCTCAAGTTTTCCTGCATCCTTGAGCGGTCACCAAGCAAAAAGGAGAAACTTAATTATATGAATCCTATTACCAGAGAGGAAATAAACGTGCTATCTTCTTAGAGAACACAAAGCATTTTCCCAGCTCTTACATCTGAAAAACTTCTTATACAAAGTTCTGTACAGAGAATATTAAATGATACCCTAGAAGCCAATGGTTTAAGATTTTAGGAGACTGCTTCTTGAAACATCCCTTGATGAAAGCAGAGAGTATCACCCCAAAGTGTAACTCACAAGGGGATTTTGCAGGAGGGGAGCACATGGTCTCCTTATACTCCTAATGGTTTCATGTGAGCTGAAGGTAGTTCTAAAGGAAAGATTATGCTTCTGAAAAACAAAAGGCAGAATTCCCTGTCATTTACGTTGGGCGGTAGCAGGCCTCCTAGACTGACTTCTCCAGTCCGCGGTGTTTGGGGTCAAGTGCAGAGCATCCTGGCAGCTCGGGCTGTGCTCCACTCGAGCGATCAGCTTTGGCTGAGTTGTAGGTTTTTGCCGTTGTCTGCTGGGAGTCTGAGAGCCTCTGTCCTTTCATTACCAGTTTCTTAGCTGGGAGGGCTCCTTCCCCTGAGTGTACATCTGCCCATATGAGCAAGCGCAGGCCTTCCCTTCCTATATCTTTTCTAACTTTAACCTAACACACGGATGATGCAGTCTAAATAAACAAGTGATTTCAGTATGATGAGGGAAGTGCTGTAAGAGTGAAACACAGGATGCTCTGTGGGGCTTGCGTAGACTTTGGGGTTCGCAGAGGCTTCCTGGAGGAAATGACCTCTTGATTTGAAAGCTGAAGGGTGGTGGAGTGCTTCCAGGCAAGTGTTGTTAGTGGAGTGTTTTAAGCAAAGTGCATGGCGTGTATGGAAGCCCAGACTTCACCTACCTCTGGAGAAGCCGCAGAGGGCTTGGCACAGCCTTGAGTGTAGTAAGCCCTCAGGAAACTGTTTTCTTCATACCAGCCCGTCACTGACCGAGCAGTGGAGGCTCACAGATAGGGTACGATGTTGGTTTGGTTTCTCTTCTGAAAGCAGACTTTCCCTTGAATGCTGATGGCTGAGAGAGCTAAATCCTGCTCCTGTAAAAACCATAAAATTGCACTGGTTAAAATGAGAGTAAGGAAAAAGGAATATGATAAGAAGAAAAAGTCGTAAAATTAGTGACAGGAATGAAAATTGGTGACTGGTTTGCTGAGTAGCAGAAACTCTGAAATGAGAAACAATATAGGAGGCCGTAACAGCAAACAAACACTGTCGTGCACCCACCTAATGATGTCTCAGTCAACAATGGAGCGTGTGGATGGCGGTGGTCCCGTGAGGTCAGTACCATACAGCTGGGTGTGTAGTAAGTAGACTGTACCGTCTAGGTTTGTGTAAGTGCACTCTATAATGTTTGCACAACAATGAAACTGCCTAATGATGCATTTCTCAGCACGTATCCCCATTGTTAAGCGATGCATGTTTGTACTATCAGCACAAATGGGCCTACATAATTCGGTAACACCTGAGAGCATCACTATGCCACAGTAAGAGTAAAGTAACTAATAAAACCTTTCTGCAGTTGTGAGGGAGCAGTAGCAGTAGAAATAATAATATTGTTCTTACTGTGATGATGATAACAGCAAAAACAGTAATAACAGGAACAGTAGCACCTAAATACTTGCTATGGGCCAGGCATTTTTCTGAGTGCTTTAATCCTCACAACAATGCTGTGAGTAGGTACTCTTATTATTTCCTTTTTATGGAAGAGAGATCTTAGGCACAGAGTAGTTAAGCAACTTGCCCAGGATCACGCAGCTGGTATGGAAGAACCTAAATCTGGAGCCATTTATTCCAGACTCCACACTCCTGACCACTGTGCTGCACCACACAGCTAAGTCTAGTTCACTTGCGTTCCATGGTTAGAGTGCTACGTCCAGGACATACTCTGCTTGGAGCCATGTCAAGTTACTACAGAGAGAATTTTTTATACCACGATGATAGGCTAAACCATATTGCAGTAGAATAATGTAGCATGTCCAATATCTACACAAAAGAAACAGAACAGTTCAGTATATCATAAAAGTTAGTCTTAGAAGAGAAAATGGGCATCTTTGCATAACTTAAGAGCTAAAGATAGGACCCTTTAGATGCCAAGTATAATGCAGGTGACCTAGCATATGGTTTAGATAGGTGGTTGGCTGTTCCTTGCAATGGAACACTTGTGTGTAGAGTTATTTAAGATTGTTACATGGAAGTTTATGTCCATTCTCAATGAAAGATCGCAGGCTGATCTTTTCTCTGACCTAGTGATAATTGAAGAGGCAGATGTATTAATACTTATGAATTCATCTATTCATTCATTAAATATTTATTGAGCACTTCCTATGGCTTGGCATGGCCCTAGATGCTGGGCATACATAGTGAACAAAATAAACGAGGTCCTTGTCTTGGGGAGCTCATGTTCTAGTGTCAGAAGACCTGTTCCCCTGCTCAAGTGGACTAACACTTGGCCAGAGTGGGAACAGAGCTTCAGAGTAGGCAGCAGCATGTGCAGTGGCCCAGAGGGAAGGCCGGGCATGCCCACAGCAGGAGCGGGTGTGTGGCAGCCCTTTAGAGGGGCTTATGTATCTGTGCTGGCTGCTGCCTGTGGGCCCTTGGTATAGACCTGTGTCACTTTGTTTATTATCTCTGTGCAAGGAGAAGACCTGCAACCAGAAGAGGATGAACCAGCAAGAGAACTGCAACCAGAAGAGGTTGAACCAGCAAGAGAACTGCAACCAGAAGATGATGATTTCCTTATGGGGGGTAATGCAGAGGATAGATTTGAGCCCCTGGAAACTGGGACGTTTCATGAAGGTAATTTGATTTCAGAATAAAATACAATAGGCTATTTGTAATTATGATAATTGGATTTTTTCTTAAACACCTTTAAAACCAATACTTAACGTTTATCTAAAGTTTTTTTACAATAAAGCTAAAAACTTAATTACAATGAATTTTTTTCCTAAAATAAATAGATATCCCAATTTTGATTCAGAGCACTTTTAGGGAAACTCTCAGAATATATAAGTTTCTTATAGAAAGGGAGTGAAATACTTCAGCACATTACTTTTACTGTGCTCTCCTTCCTAGAGTGCCAAGTGTTACCGGAAATTCAAACACCTGATGAAATATGCTACTTGATAATCTATCACAGGCTCTTGTTCTAATATGAGATCTGTAACAACAGATGTAGAAATCTGTAACTAAGATTGTGGGTAGAACCCAATTCTTAACTTCTGTACTAGGCATTGGCAAACTTTTTCTGTTATTGTCCAGAGGGTCAGTATTTTAGGCTCTGCCAACAATATAGCCTCTGTTGCAACTACCTACCTTTGCTGTTGTAGCACAAAGACAGCCCTAGACAATACCTGTAGGTAAGTATGGCTGTGTTCCAGTAGAACTTGATTTACAAAATCGGGAGGCAGGCTTCATCTGAGCTATGGACCATGGTTCGCTGACATCAGTGTGTATCAATTTTGTAAATCAAATTTAAATATCTGGTTTATTTAAATTTGTTATTTTAAATAGCCGGTTATTTAAATATCAGTTGAATAGTTTACCTTGGATCATTTGCAATAGGCAAGTTAGAGTTACAGCTGTTCACCATTGGCATATAAAGAAGTAATTTCTGTGATGATGAAAACGTTTTATTCATATATTTTGTGCTCCTCTATGCTTTAATGTGAGACTACTATGATTATTCAAAGCCCTGTTAAATTAAGTACACATGCTTTGTTCTTATGGTATACATTCTCTCCCCTCTTTACTTAAAGTAGTCCTTTAAGACCTTAAGAGTTCTTAAAAGATTTTAAGCCACAGGTTTTGTTCTCTGATTGGTTTATGTCATTTTATTTAAAATATATAAATATATAAATGATATAATTTTATACTTAAGATGACTACTAATGAAACATTGTTTATTTAACATGGATGTTTCATTTCTAAAGAGTGATAAAAGAAAAACAAATCTTTAAGCTGGGGGGAAAAGTTGGGGGCACCAACACAAAATTAACCACATTACACATTATGTCCCACCATATAATCATCAGAGTCTGTGGTTGAGCTGCCTTAGATCCCATGCGATAACACGGCACCACAAGCCACAAAGGATCGAGACCAGAAGTGCCTGGCAGGGTTCAAGGATTAGCTAAGCCTAAATGGAATTCAGAGCGGTAGACAGAATGGTGAGAAATAAGCAGTAGACAAGGTCCACAGCACTAGTCAAGGTGGGACGTCTAGAGCCATAGGGTCATGGATTCAGAGGCAGAACCTCTTGTGAACAAGATCCACAAAGATGGACTGATTTCCCTACAAATAGTTTTCAATCTTGGATGCAGTTAAGGTCACCTAGAGAGCTTTTAAAAGAATACCTGTGACCCACCCTAGTCAAAGTGAATCTGAATGTTTGGGGTGTGGGGCCCCCTAAACGGAAAATGGTAAAAGCTCTTTGGGTGATTAAATTCAATTGCAGCCAGGATTGAGCAAAAGTGCGGCTGGGCTATTTATTTTTTCTGTGCCTTACCTCACATCCTACTCTGCTGTTAAGACTTGAACATCTGTGCTCATAGCCGTGGGCATCAGGGTGAGCGCCACAGGACTCGTCCAAGCTAAGGATTGAGTGGAGAGGGAGCCTGCACACAATGTGGTTGGCAAATGGCTGCAAGGACTATTTTAAAGCATAAAAGTTATGAAAAAGTAAGGTATATCTACTTCCCACAGTATTTAATATATTGGGAAACTACTTTAGAAGCAAGCAGCTCCTAATTTATGAATGAATGTATTTCCAGAAGTTTATATTCATGCCTGTTGTTGAGAGCAGGAAATGCACTTTTTCTTAGAAATAATGTTGTAAGTGATAGTTTGATTTCCATACTAACCTACAAATTTGTATATGATGCATAATTTTCTGTGAAAAACGTAAACTCAAAATGGTTTTGAATATGTATATGATTTCAGCTGCATTGTGCTTTTAAAATAGGCATTTATAGACTAGCTTTAGAATTTTAGGCCTTTAGTTATCTGTGTTATCTAGCCGTCTGTTAGTTATCTTTAGTTTCTGTGGGGAACATGTTTCTAGTTTCTGAGTAGAAATGCTGACAAAATGATTTCCACATTTCCCTGGTACCTCCTGCTGCCTCCTGTCTTCACCAAGATGGCTCAGAAAGGTTGATACTTGCTCAGAATTTTGATACCTTAGATGCTGTTTATACAACAGATTTCAGTTAAGAAACTCAATCAAAACATAAGGAATTAGATATTTTTGAGGTTGGGAGTTACAGATTGAGGGTAGGAAGAGACATTTCTAAGAAGTTCATGAACTGAAGAAACCTTATTTTCTGACCTAATCTTTAATTGGGACATAGATTCAGTTTGAACCTAAAAATTACTTATTAAAAGTCTTCAGAAATTAAAAATATTTACGCTTCAAATAGCTGTTAGATAAAATTACCAAAGGTCGCACTAGTGGAGAGGATCATTCAGTGGCAGCACTTTGCCATCAGGGGCATGTGGTTAAGCTTGTCAACACGTTCACCTCCCAGCTCCCCACACTTAGAACGTCTCCCTGTTCTTCCTTTGTGTTCCCATGTACAGTCAAGGTGCTCTTGCTCTAGAAGAGAGAACACCATACTGGAATGGGAAGTAAACCAGAAATGAGCCCCTTTCCTGGGTCCAGCCTTCGTCACTGTTTTACTCTGTCTAAATCATCCTCTCCCTTTAGCCCAGGTTATGGTGTGTGTCAACCTTGTGGGGTTGTTGAGTGAATCAAGTAAGAGAACGCTGAGAGATTTCTAAATGTAGTTCTAGTAAAAGATAAAGTGTTTAGCAGACATTTAATTGATATTTTCATGTTTTATTTTAATAGTTATTTGCTTTCAAAATAAAATCAATGATAAGCATAAATTCAGAATATACATATATGGTGTGTGTATGTATGTGTGTGTGTGTGTATATATATATATATACTGTTTTATGAAAGTAGTAATACCGATTTAATGTTATTTTTTTCAGAAACTGAAGATAGTAACTATGTAGAAGAGACTGGTAAGATTTTAATACTATTTTTTAATTAGATTGAGTCTTTTCCTATAAAAGAGCATCATGAGAGAGATAATACTATAATTATTAATAGTAATATATTGTATAGGATATATCATATGTATAAAATACATATATCTAATATAATATATATTTAATATATAGTATAATATATATTACTATATACAGTATTATATATCTAATATAATATATAGTATATCTAATATCATAGATAATATATAGATAATATATAATCTATAACATATATAATATATCTAATAATTAGGTTATATCTAATATATTATATCATGTATATATGTCTGTCTTTGTGAATATAGCTTCTGTGCCTTTGAAGTCTACTTCCTGAGGACAAATTCTCAGTACAGGAATTGCTAGGTCAAAAGATACAGTAGAGGGGCTGGCCCCGTGGCGGAGTGGTTAAGTTCGCGCGCTCCGCTGCAGGCGGCCCAGTGATTCGTTAGTTCGAATCCTGGGCGCGGACATGGCACTGCTCATCAGACCACGCTGAGGCAGCGTCCCACATGCCACAACTAGAAGAACCCACAACGAAGAATACACAACTATGTACCGGGGGACTTTGGGGAGAAAAAGGAAAAACTAAAATCTTTAAAAAAAATAATAAAAAAAAAAAACAAAAGATACAGTAGAATTGCGTTTTTGTTGTCTAAAATTGCAAAATCAGTGAAAGGTCCAAATTGTGTATTGTCACGTGTCAAGTGTCCCCAGAACGTATGGCCACACTGGAGATGAATATGTCATCTTTCAATAAGCCTGAGTGTTGGCCAGTTTTTCTTCCAGTCTTAGAATAGACCCTTCTTTCTCTGCTGGAGGACCATGTGATATTGTTGGCTGGCTTTTAGGACCTATATCATTTCAAGAATATGTGTCTGTAAACACTAGAATTACATTGCATTCTGGGAGTACTGAGGTATTGAGTCTAAGTGAGTGTCTGGGATGTGTGTGTCTTCAATTAGGCTCCCTCTGTGGCAGGTGCTTGCTGAGTGGATGGGAGGAGGGCTCCCCTACACTGCTCTGTCTGTCTCATTTTTGTTTTGCTGAATATAGTTGAATTCACATAAGCTAAATGAGAATATAGCTCCATGATTTTGTGGTTCAATTATACACCCACTGATGGTGAAGACTGTCTTATTCATCATTGTATTTGGCATTTAGCACAGTTAGTGCCTGCTTGTTCCATGAGTGAATGAATGAAAGTTTGAGCATCATTATGATTTGATTTTACATTTCAGTCATTACTAAAAATTGTTCTTTTCCTGTCTTAAAATCAAGTGCAATCCTAATTTGAGATGTATTTGTAATTTCCTAATTATTTTCTAATTTATAGCTTCACAGGCCTATAATCAGGATATGGAAGAGATAGTGTATGAACAGGAAAATCCAGGTTTGTGATATGTGTTCCTCTTTGAGGCAGTGGCCAAGGCCGTTTTAACCCAGTGTTAATGATTCAATCTGATTCAAGACAGAGTACTCTTTATAATACTCAGAATCATTTGTAGTTGGCCAGATGTTTATAGAAATTTCTGAATATAGTTTAATATTACATGAATAAGTGAGGAAAAAAGATTTGTTTTTCAAACCACCCTTTGGGACTTCGGTCTTTGTAGATAGGATACAGGAAAGAATATCTGGAAATGAATAAGGTGGTAGATGGGGTCACGTCAGTCCGAGTGCAAATCCTAGTTCTGCTCCCGCCTGTCTTTGTGACTTAGCAAATTGTGAAATTTTATTAAGCTTAAATTATATTAAGTGATAAGGATAATATCTATCTTACATGGTTCTGAAGGTTAGAATTAATTTATAACTGTTTTAGAATGGTGTCTAGTAATGTGTTTGTTTTTTTCATGTTTGGCAGTGGTGTATATTTTTTCTTTGTAGATGCCATTGAACCAGTAGTAGATGAGGTTGAAAGAATGTTCCATGAAGCAGGTATTAGTGAACGTTTTCATTAGATTTTAAACTTTACTTAAGACTTTACGGTTTCAAAGCTGGGCTAACACGGTGATTTTTCTTTCGATGGAGTCAAAGAAGTAATTTTAACACCTAACATAAGACTTTGCTTTGTAACAAAATTAGATTGTTAATCAAATATCAGGCTTTCACCTACCATGGGCTCCACAACAAAACAGGGTGTTAATTCCTAATGCTACTTTTGCATATCTTGCTTTATGCCAGATTGAGGAATTTTTATGAAAATAATTTACCTGCCCTTTCCTCTTTGGTCAAAGGCATTTATCACTGACTGTGCAGACATTAATATTTAAAAGAATCAAATTCTATATTTCAGATTGTTATGTTTTTTAGCTAAGCAATTACACAGAATGACTCATTTAATACTTATTTTGGTTTTATTCTCTCTTTTGCAGATGATGTAACATACCAAGAGGATGATGAACAAGGTTTGAAAATGCTTCTTAACTTTAAGCCAGCTGTTTGTTTTAAAATCTACTCATAGTTTGATTGTAAAGTTTAGAGAATGGTGTTTTAAGCAACAAATGCCATAACTTAAAACATCCAAGTGAATGGTAGTTTTCAAAGAATTTACTTGGGGAGATTGTTTACCTGTTCCAGTGGTTCTGCCATTGCCTAAATAATTTCTTAAACTCTTTTCAAGTTGGCTTAGGAAGCAGTTAAAAATTATTCAAGGAAACTTATCTTATTACTTTATAGTCATAGTTCTCTTTATGTCTTGTGCTTGAAAAACTACTTTAGTCAGAGTTTAACTGCTCCAGCTGCTTCTAGAAATTGATCCCACTCTTGAATAAAGATGACTGATTGGCCAGCATGGAGAAGGTACAGAAAAAATCATTCCAGGTTTAAAGGCAGCATGGAGAAAATAGTTCTGGCGAATTTGTGGCGTGAGTAGCAGCAGATTCAAATTTAGGCAATTATAGTTCCTTTTGTTGCCCAAGCACTTCTCTGCTGTTTTACTAAACTCCATTAAGTAGGTCATATTTCCCCTGCTTCCCAGATGAGAGAAATAAGGCTCATAGAATGTAAATAATTTGCGTAAGTTCATATGACTAAGAAATGATAGAGCCAATAGTGTACCCTTTTTATTCCAAATCTTCAAAGATGACTCTGTAGAAGGAAAGAAGTCAGTTGAGTATAACTTGGTGTATGAAGCAAGAAGGATGAAGAAATATGTAGAGACTGAGCCAAATATTGAGGACTTTCTATGTGCTTTGGTTTTAGGGATTAGTATTCAAATATGGATAATAAAGTGTCCCTACTTTTAAGAAATTTGTAGTCTCATAATAGTTGGTGAAACTCATTGAAGAAAATTAGAAATGGCTATGCATAGAGCTAATATGCTAATTTATTAAGCGTGTGTATTCAAGATATGAGAGACGCTACCAAGATCACATCCACAGTGGCTATTTCTAATGGGATATGAATGACACCATTGGAAGAATCCTGAATCCTGGATTGTATCTTTAGGGACTAATATTTTTTATAAGAAGTTAAAGAACTTGATTTCATTTAGATTTGCTTTTCAGTTTTTATTTTGAAGGAGAAAATGGGAATTTTGGAATTAAAAGTTGCACGAAGAAGTAGGATTTGAGATAGTTTTCTAATCTCTGCCCGTCATTATAGTGTTTTTCTAAATATGCTGGTGAGAACATGTTTGGAATGCAATTTGCAGACTCCGTCTAGAGAACTTTAAAATTAAACTTGAAAGAAGTATAAAATTAGATACCAGGTTAAAAAAGATGTAAAAATAAATGTATTTTCATAGGCAGAATGTCATATAAATATAATTTAAAATGTTAACAAAGAGTAATAAATACGACCTAAGGGGTCATTAAGGTTTGGTGAGATACTTTGAATTACTCTGCTACAAAACATAGACTTTTTCAAATAAAATAGATCTCATAGAACAGAGGATTTATTCACTGTGTGCTAAAAAGATGCTTTTGTGGAAATTCAAGAACCAAAGTAGGGAAACCAAGGGACTGTCATGTAATTATAGCTGTAATTAAGGTAGAAACAGCCATTTTTGGTTGGGAAAACAGAATATACTGTATTAAACTCCCCAAGCTCTAGCACCTGGAAAACATAAGGCTTACTAAAGCTATAGAGGGAACTGGCTTTCTACATAAAAAACATCCTAGAAAGTATCAAGCCTACATTGGAAAATCTGGGAAATGATGGTACAGTCTTATGTCTAATTGAGCCATTTATTCGTACACTTCATATGTATCAAGTATCTGGTGTCTCAAACATAGGACACTGGAACAGGTCTAGTGAAGAATGCACATGTGGTCCATATTCCCCTGGGCCATCTGTTTTAGGAGGGAGGTCGAAATTACACAAGTAACGTCACTTTAATATAATATTCAATTACACTTGTGCTAAGTGCTGGTGAGAATGAGTACAGTGTGTCACAGGTATATGGTAAAGAGATATTACCTAGTTGGTGGACCAGGGAAGGCTGCTCTGAAGCTCGAGCTGAAGATGAGAGCAATTGATGAGGGAGGAGGAAAGTGGCTGGAAAGTGGTATGAAGCCTCTGAGGTTGGCAGATGTGTCTGGAGGGCTGAGAGTAAGAAGACAGACATGAGCTAATATTGTGACATGGTCCAGGTCCAGGGCTTGCCTGTAGGCTAGGTCAGCGGTGTTCATCTTCACCCTAGGGCACTATTGAAGGCACTACAGTTTCAGGTCTGCATTTTGTAAAGAACAATGGGTCTAACCTGTAGGAAATAAACTGGAGAGAAACTGGGGAGACTAGTTACCCACATCTGATCATGCCCTGAAGCACATCTCTGCCATATGAGGAGTCAAAGGAGATGAGTTTCAAGAAAGGGACGTTCAGCAGTGTGCATGCTGCTCAGGACCCATGCAGGATGAACACTGAAAACGTACATTCGATCTGGTACAACAGAGGCCTCACTGGTAACCTTGGCAAGAACTGCTTTCAATGGACAGAAGTCGGACGGAGATGATTTAAACCAGGGTGGTGGCAGTGAAGGTGCAGGGCAGTGGACAAAGCCAAGAAATATTTAGAAGGTAAAATTGATAGGGCTTGATGTGTGGGTGTAGCTGTGAAGAGAGAGCAAGATGTCAAGAACCATGTCCACTGATCTGGCTTATACACCTGGTGGATGGTAGCACTTTCTTCCTAAGACAGGCGAGACAGAAAAGCAGAAACGGGTCATGGGTCCAGTCTGTGCATGTTGATAGTGCATGTTGAGACATCCAAGGGGAAATATCAAATAAGCTGACGGATAGAGTTTAGATCTCAGAAGAGAAGTCTAATTCATGGTTGTGAGTTTGCGAATCATCAGTATGTACGTGGTAGTTGAAGCCAAAGGCTGAGGTCACTTAAGGAGTGAGGATAGAGTGGGATGGGGGGAGGTCTTATGGCTGGCCTTTGATGAAAGAAGATTGGGAAGGAGAAATGGAACAATAAAAAGACAGTAAGTTCACATTTAAGTCCCAGGGCAATAGTGTTTGAAAAGGAAGGAACTACTAAGAGATTTATTAGTTATTAGGGTGGGAGCTGTGAAAGTGTGCATTAGATTCAATGAGGTGCTCATTGGGCTCAGTGGAGCTTCTCAGCCTGATGTGGTCGGGGCCGGAGGACACATTGGAGAAGGTTGAGCAGAGGAAGTGCGATGAGACAGCAAATGTAAATGACTCTTTGAAGAAATTAGATTGTGAAATGGGGGAAAGAGAGGGCAAGGGGAAGCAGGCCCAAGAAGGGGCTTCTTCGCGTGGTTGGCAGAGACTTGAGCAAATGTAAATGCTGACACAGTTCAGGGTGGCAGTCAGCAAATATTCCTTGCTCCTTCGTCTTCTGAGAACCACCAAAGGAGAGAGAACAGTACATTAAAAAGTGTTCCTTGCTCTCCAGCAGCACAGAGAATAATATCTGAAAGATAGAAGGTGCTCCAAAATTTTTCTTTATTAAAGGTGAATAAAAAGAATAAATTTATAACTGTGCTGGTTATAAATTAGAAAGCACAGGAGAAAGTTTGCTCCTAGTGTATCAGAAAATTTGAAGCATTTTGGAAGATGAAAAAGCAGGGATCAAGTTGACTAAGAAAGCTGGGACCCGACTGGGCAGAGGGACTGCGGCAGAGACAAGAGCCCTCCCCGCAGCGGAGCAGAGCAGCAGTAAGCCCTGTGCCAGCAGATAAGAGGAGAAATGGGTGATGGGCTGTGGCTTGGGTACAGAATTAAGGGTCTGCCAACTGAGTCCTCATTCTGAGGGCCTGGCAGCAGGGGTGTTTGCCCCCAGGTGAAAGATCTGAGAACTGTTCCCTAAACAAAGGCGAGAATCTGCCTGGTGAAAACCTGGACCCAGAGTGGTAAGCAGAGTGGAGCCTTGGGTAACTCAGAATGTCCACTGTAGACATGAAGGAAGTGAGAAAAGGAAATTCATGCCACCTGGGAATAAACAAATTATTGGATCCTGGTAACAAGCGGTTGGGGAGGAACTTTAATTTTCCCCGTTTTACAAGAAGGAAGTATATGTAGCTGCCCATCTCCAGTGGCTACAAAGTGGCTGATGTGGAATTTGAACCCAGGCCTGTTTCACTCCAGACCAAACTCATCCCCTCCCTGCTCTGTAGCCTGCGTTTCCCAGCAACTAAGCCCCAGAAGTTCAAGGATAAATTAGACATTGTCTCTGCTCCTGACTTCTACAGCCAGTGTTGTGTTATCATGAGAGTTGTGCAGTGTTAAAGGATTATTTTGTGTGTGTGTTTTATAGTACGCGAGCCATTGGAACATGAAGGGATAGAAAATTCAGGTAAGCTTTTTCTCTAAGCACACTTTTCCTGCAAGTCAGCCACCCTGTGCTTGTTAAAACTCGTGTAATGTGTAGAACAAACATAGACGTAGTAAGAAATACAAGATATTTTCAAGTCACCAAGGAAGTACTATTGGTGTATTTATTTCCTATTTATGGTGTAAGGTTATGTCAGCAGGGTTAGTATCCACTTATTAATGTATTCTCTGAATATAATTTAGAAATTAAAGTTGATATTCTAGTATAAATACTTGAGTATAAATACAAGTATAAATACTTGATAAGAATCCTTAGTCTAAAAAGAGCCCAGTATAGGTCTCTGAGTTGATATAAGTAAATTTAAAGATCTAGTGGAGGTGAGCTAACGTAAGATGTGTTTGCCTTTTTTTAGATAATGCTGTAGAAGATTCAAACGTAATTTTAGAAGGTAAGTTAACTTTATAGAAATAGTTTTAATTTTCATTTTAAAATTATGTTCATTTATTCAACAGTTGGGCACTTACTCTTTGCTATCTGTGCAGTGCCCAGGGGCTGGGAGGACGAGAGTGAAAGAGGAAGATGGAATTCCTGCTTTCAGGGCTGGCATTCTAGTGGCCAAACATGATAAAGTAATTACAGATTATGAAAAGTGCAGTGACGGAGATACAAACAGAAAAGTGTGATAGAAAATAACTGGTTAAAGTGAGGAGGGCTACTCTAAGTAGGAGGAAATGATCTCGTGAGAAGAGGTCAGCCTTGGGCAGAGATGGGTTAAAATGTTGTTTATTCAGCTGGAAAAAACTTTTCTGGAAAGTGAAGGGATGGTTTCTGAAAAATAAAAATTGTGGCATATGTTACACAGTGGTACTTTAACACAACTTAGATTAGTCTAGTTAACACTTTGCAAAGTTCTTACTCATATGTGATTTCAGGTGTTCCTCACAGAAGACACTGAAGAGGAGGTAGGGCAAATATCATTGTGTTTATTTTACAAATGAAGAACTGAAACTGGAGTGAAGTCAAGGGGCTGGCCCCAGGTTACCGGCTGGCAATGACTAAGCTGGTATTCAACCCAGGCTTGGGGCCTGCAGTTGACTGCGGGGTCCCCATGCTTTACAGCAGTGGGTTGCCACAAGGAACATGTAATGGGGAATTTTGCTCATAGAATTACTTTCAGAATTCATTTATGAGCCACTAATTATCAGTTTTCAGATTAAATGTTACTGCTCTTGAGCGTGGCTAGGCAGAATAGATAATAGTACCGTTGACTAATGGGAGCACATAGACGGGCATGGAGGGAATGAGGGCCACTAGAATTGCCCTCGTTGTCCACTTAGCTGCTGGGAGAGACGCCTACACAGGTGCTCTGGGACCACTGTGTACAAGCAGGTTCATCTTCATGTAGTGGGCTGGACTGAGTTCGCATTTTCTCCTACCTCCTCTTGCTCAGTTCTCTGAAGAATATAGCTGAGTCTGTTTTTTCATTCAGTTGGAATCAGAAAATGGAAACCCAAAATCCCTAGGAAGAACTTCATCCAACCCACCCCACATATATTATTATAAAAGAACTAAACACCAGAATATGCAACTTGGCCCTGCCTTTCTTGTATTAGAAATACAGTTTTTTCCTAAGAGTTTTCAGGCATTTTCATAAGCCAGTAGAGGGCGTGGCAGAGACTGCTCAGGGAATTCCTTCTGGTGGATTGTGGGGGTCCGGACTATACACCGTCAGCCCAACCTGCGGTTTCTGTGCTTCTGCAGCACCTGAGTGGACAGCGAGAGGGAACTCGTCATCTTCCCATGCCCACTAGCCTTCTCTTTACCCCCTTCCCTTATCTTGGCTGGGTGCATCAGTACTTACTCGGATTCCCAAGCCGGAAATGTGAGAGTCGTCACTGAGTCCACCTCTCCCTCTGTAGCTAATCCCAAGTCCTGTTGACTAGGCCTCCTGAATATTTCTCAAATCCAGTCTTTGCTCTGTAGCTCTGGTGATCTAGTTCAGCCCCCCATCATCTTCCTGGACAATGGCAGTGGCCTTCCATCAAGTCTTCTTAACTCCATACTTGTCCTCTTCAAATCCATCTTTCACAATGCCGTTAGGATAATCTATTCAGAAGTACAGATCTAACTATATCAATCCTGTGTTTAAACCCTTCTGTTCTTCCCCATCTGTGCCATTAAGGTTCCTTTCTATTTCAGGTAACAGAAAACTGAACTTGAATTGGCTTAAGCAATAAAGAGACAGGAGATAGGTCAGTCGGGGCTTTGAAGGACCTGGTACGGAATTTGGATTATATTCTAAGTACAGTGAGAATCTATGGAAATATTTAAATGAGAGATGGCATAATCTGACTTATGTTTTGAAGAATTACTTTCACTTCTAGTTAGAGAATGGATTGGATGGAGCAAGAATGGAAGCAGGGACCACTCTGTTGGAAAATTATTGTGTATCCAGGGAAATGATCATGGTGGCCTGGAGTAAGATCATGGCAGTGGAAGTGGAGGGGAAAGTTTTGAACTTGACATACGTTTTAGAATTACAGCTGATGAAACTTTCTAATGGTTGTGATGTAAAGAAGAATAAAGGGGGCCTTTGGTTTGGTTTGAGTGACTGGTGGATGATGGGGCCATTTGCGGAGAAGAAAACTAGAATGCTAGAAGAAATTGGTTTAGGGAAATAAACCCAAAGCTCAATATTAGGTATTTTACATTTGGGAATTTTGTGATACAGCAAGGTGGAGGTATCAAGTAGGGAGGTGGATATGCCAGTCTGAACTAGATGGGCAAGATCTGAGATGGATATAAGCATTTGGAAGCCATCACCATGAATATGGTATGAACTCCATGGAAACAGGTAAGATCGTTTTGGAGGTGAGTGCAGAGAGTAGGCAGGACTGAGCTCCAAGGATTCCAGCGTTGTGAGGTTTGGTGGAACGTGAACAACCGGTGAGGCATGAGGAAAACCAGTGGGGAGGAATGTGAAAGAACACAAGGAAAGAGGGAATATGTTCCATGCCACTGCGACTGGAATTTCAGGACAAAGTATCAGGTGCATTTGCCACTGTGGAGATGGTTGGTGATCTTGGCAGAAAGCCATCTGAGTAAATTGATGGGAGTGAAAGCCAGACCGAAGTGGGTTTAAAAAGTCCTGGAGTAAGAAAAAGTCGGCTATATCAACAGGCAGCCCTTTTGGGTTGTGCTGATATAATTAATTAGCTATTTCCTTTTTAAAAATCCTCTTGTTACATCATTGCCAAAATAAATTTCAGATAATTTTTTTGAGTGTACGTTGTTTCAGAATAAAATCAGATGAAAATTGAGTTTATCTTGCGATAATAATAAAGGCTTTCTTAGTGTCACACCAGCGATGGAAATAACAAGAGCTTAATACTTTATGATGTACACAATTTTTTCAAATGTACCTAAAATGACAAAAGTAAAGGAAATTCTGAGAAAAATATTGGTAAATTTGGTAAAATGCTAATATGTCTGAAATGATGACGAACCAAATAAACAGGCAAACCATTAACAAGGCTGTCGCAACGCAGCTGGCCAGTACTTCCACTGAAAGAAGGAAATAGGCCAGAATGCTAGTCATCAGTGGGAATGTGTGTGAGATTTTTCTCTTTCCTTTTTACTGTTATGTAAATATTTCCAAATCTTCTGTTTTGAACATATATCATTCTTATAATTAGAGGCAAATTAAGGCAAGAAGAAAAATGATTTAAAACAGCTACACAAATATTTTGAGTTTTAGAAAATGCTGTCAAAAATTCTTTCTTTTGACCAAGGCCTGTTACAAATCTTAAGGAGCAAAAGGAAAGCTGATGTAGTGTTATCTCTAGATGAAGGTAATGTCAAATGGGTTGTTAGATATGAAGATAGTAATACGTGATGTAATTTTGTGAAGCAGATCAGATTACTATTTCGTTACACCGTTGGCTGGTGAGCTCTACAGTGTCTTTGATTGTAAGTGTTGAAGGAGCCAGGGAAAAAGACAAGATGTTAAGAATTCATATCCACATTTTTGGCTAGTGTTAGAATATGTTATCTTGAATATTATTATTATTTATTTGTTTGTTTAGCTGAGGAAGATTCACCCTGAGATAACATCTGTTGCCAATCTTCCTCTTTTTTTTTTAGCTGAGGAAGATTTGCCCTGAGCTAACATCTGTTGCCAGTCTTCCTCTGTTTTGTATGTAAGCTGCTGCCACATAGAAAATAACCATAATAGTGGCAGGGCCACTAATAGACAGTGATGTAGGTCCATGCCTGGGAACTGAACCCAAGCTGCTGAAGTGGAGCATGCCGAACTTAACCACTAGGCCACCAGGGCTGGCCCCTGAAGATTATTTTTCAAAAGCAACTTTATTAAAGATAGTGATTTATTTTTAAGATTCTATTTAAATTTCATTTCTTTATATTGTTTCATTCACATTAAAACTAGGGTTGTGAAGTAAAAACTTTTTAAAGAAGAAACAAGATGCTCTAACTGTCTTTCTTCGGCTTTGTTATCAAGTGTGATGCAAAAGTTTGAAATTCTGGCTTTGCTCCCAGCTCCTTTGCTGGGTGGTGAGTTTTGAGGTGAGTCTGTTAGGCAGATCACGTAAAGCCTGAAGTGCAGAATGCTTGAGAAATTTGCAACATGTTAGGAAGTTATAGCTAATTCTTTGTTGTGATGGTGTAAAAACCTAATCCTTTTATGATAATTGCGTTGAATCGCAAAAAAGTGTGTAAAAATAATCAGCATAACTTAAATGCCAGCAATCTGTATCTCAAACACTGGTCAGCAGTATGTAATGGATTGTAACTTTATTGTCTCTTTTAGAAGTACCTGTGCCCCCTGCAGAAGAACAACAGGAGATACCACCAGGTAGGAGAGTTTGTTAGACGTATTGCTTTTTCCTTTTTCATTTAATTTAAAATATGCTGTCGATATTCATACTCACTGTATACAGTAGATGTGTGAAGAATAAAAGTCTCGAGAAGGATTAATTATACCTAAACTTAAAGAGAAAATTTCTCTTGTTTTGATCAGATGAGCCAAAGTAATAGAAAATACGCATCAGATTCAGTCTGGTACATATTTGTTGAGCAGAATTTGAGGAGTATTAATTATCAAAGTACCATATGATTTTTGCCGTTATAGATGGTAGTAGTAGTAGAAATTAGGGGATTTTTTCCTCCTTTTTTGACCGACAGGCTACTTGATGGAGAATATGGAATCAGCATTGCCTTAAGATGGAAGTTTAATAGTGCCTACATTTGTGACATTCCTCCTCTTCCTCCCCATTTCCTGTCTTCCTTGAGAGCATCCTTAGTGCCCCCTGGCAATCCTGGCTGCCTGGGACTTGTCAGTATCCCCCAGTTTTTCCTTTCAGCCCACTGTGTTCAACCCATTTCTCTGCTTTTCCCTACCTTCCCCAACACGTCCTCTCTCATCATCAGTGATTTAAAGAATGAGAACAGCATTGCAACCAAAGCCTGTGCTTTCAAATGCATCTAAAGAGATAACATTAACTATACCTGCAATCAGAAATTACCATAAAAACCTCCTGTTTTCATAGTGGGGGAAAAACGTTTTGTTCAGAGAGAATTTTCCAATACCTCTTTCCCAGGTGTATTTTTTCTTGTTTCTGTGTTTTATTTCCATATTTTTTTCTTTTGGGGTCACTTATTGGTTCAATTTTTACTCATATTTTTCACATTATGCTTAACATGAATTTTGTAGCAGTGATGTGCATTACTATTACTGATTTTGGTAGAAATAATTGAGCCTGCCAAAATTCATTGAATACTGAATTTTAAGGAAAAAAAATAACGTCTTAATCAAAGAATATTTTTAGTTATGCCTCAGTCATCTTTGCTTATTTTATGGTTGGGATGTTTTAGGTTTTGATAGTTGTAATGCCATGTATATTTATGATAATATGTACAGATACTTAAGAAAACTGAATTATGGGTATTAGTGTATGAATGAGAAAAGAAATCCATGGAAAAATTGATCTTTTACATGCTGATCGCTGGGCATGAATGTATATTTTGTGTTTAGGAAAGATGCACAGGGCAAGAAAAATTGATGTCTCTGTCCTACTTTTGTAGTATCCTCTTTATTGTTGGGCAGTGCTTCACAGAGTGCCTTGCTTCTATCTTGAGGAGGCAGAGTAGGTGGCTAAATTAGCATTTTGATTACTACCCATTCCTTTAAAGAAAATTGGTTTATAAGTATTCCTAAAAATAACGCATTTCAATGATATTGACTTTTTTCTAGTTATAGTTCATATTTTTAGATATTGACCTAATTTTAGTGAGGGTATGAAAGGTAATATTATTTTCTGACCAAAAAGTTCTGTGCTTTTATTTCCATTTTTATAAACTAAGCCCAGGAATTTCTTTGGAACATAAATATAAAATGCCAGTTGGTTATGGTGCTGGAATAAGGTGCTTTTTTAACATGAAGTATTTAACAACCGAAGCACATAAAAATGAAGATTTGATTAATATACATCCTTCCTGACACATAAAAACCTCCCAGTAAATGGTGGCTATGGCTGTTATTGTTTAGTAATTAATTGCCCTGATCTTTGAAGTGGGTCAAGAAAAGCTAAATTATGAAAGACCTGCTCAAGAAGTTATAAACTGTAATTTGGTATCATAAAAATTTGATTGATCCACTGCACAGTTGTAGTTTGACCTTGCCAAAAGAGAATGTAAAGGCCAAGAGTTAGCAATGGTTATTTTTAAGGATGGTACTTCATTTGCTTATTTACTATTATCTTCTTAGTCTTGCTTCATCTTACTTTTTTTTTTTTTTGAGAATGATTAGCCCTGAGCTAACATCCACCGCTAATCCTCCTCTTTTTGCTAAGGAAGACTGGCCCTGAGCTAATATCCATGCCCATCTTCCTCTATTGCATATGTGGGATTCCTGCCACAGCATGGCTTGTTGTAAGCGGTGCATAGGTCCGCACCCATGTTCTGAACCAGCGAACCCTGGGCCGCTGAAGTGGAGCATGCGAACTTAACTCTTGCTCCATCAGGCCAGCCTGCTATATTGCTTTTTAAAAATTTTTCAATCTTATAAAAGAATAATGCTCATAAATCTATATTCATGATCTTTTTGTACATTAAGCTGATTGCTTTTATAATAGTGTTTAATTATGTATGTGATTCCAGAAACTGCAGACACACTAATTTTAGGGCCTGTCTTCTTACTACCTTTCTGTCTTTCAAATTCTGTTATTCAGTGGAATACTCAAATTGAGGACCTCTGCAAAATACTGGATATTAGTTCACATTTTCCTGGCTCTCAGAATCTAATTGATAAATACTTTGCCTTCTGCGATCATTCTCAGACTGGGTTATACACTCTTTATATTGCTTATTAACATTCATAATAATGTATTTATCAGTGTGATAACCCCATGGGCAGGAACTGTCTTCATTTACTGTTGTATCCACCCGTGCGCAGGGATGGTGAATGCTAACATTGATTAAGCATCATGTAGGTGCTCTTCTAGGCATATGACATGAATTAACTCATTTTATTTCCAATGGCCCAAGTGGTAGACATTCTGTAAAGATGAGGACACTGAGACACAGCAAGGCAAAGTAACCTGCCCGAGGTCACAGAGCTGACAATTGCTGGAACTGGGATCGATCCTTGCGTCCTGGCTCCCGAGTTCATACCCTCAGCTGCTCTGCTCTAGAGGACATTAAATAAATGAAGCCTCAGAGCTGAGGAGTTTGGGGAGCTGTTTTTAGGTGATGAAACAAGGGTATTGCACTCTTTGGTGTCTTTCTCTTAATATACATTAATACTTAGTTAAGACTCCGAATGTTGAAGGTTAATTATGACTCATTGTAGAAAAATAAGTTGTCCAATAGTTTAAATTTTGCCATGTTTTGTTTATATTTGTAAATTTATAAATGCTCTGGTGGTGGGCTCTTGGCAGGGATGTAAAAAGATCAATCCTAAACCTTGATCATTCTGATGTTAGAAGTCAGTCATTTTGAATGCTAAGTTTTTTTAAAAAATTGATTTCGGAATTTCTGCTCCTTTAGTGGGTTTTCATCTTTCTCCCCAAACTCATATTTTCACTTGAAATCATACTGCATATTTCTAGCGCTATGACAGTGTAAATATCTATAGCACAAATTAAATGATTTATGATGCAATGCTTCATCAGAGTAAAATTCCCTGCCAAATAGTACTTTAAGGCCATTTAGCTAACTGGTTCCATGAACAATTTTTCTGTCATACTATGCTAAAAAAAAAGTCAGTTTTATGTTTTGTAATGATAATCATGTTATTCAAAATGGAAATATGTGAGCATCAGTCTTTCTGGGTGATTCTGCTGCTCTTGTCTCTCTGAAAATGGAGATAACGTTTGTAACTCATCCCACTGTTGAATATTTTAGCAGTGGCGATGATTTCACCCCGTTGCATCTATCCAGAACTTTCACTCATGCCTCCCCTGTCACCCAGCATCTTCTGACATGATCAGTAAGGCCCATAACCAGGTTTAGGCTGGTAGCACTAGAGGTCTGAGCTTATGTTAGTAAGTGCCTAATTTGCATATTGTTGTTACTGATTTGATCATTCATTTATTCAAGAAATAGATGCTGAGGTACAGGCTCTGCCCTGGGCAGTGAAGGTCCACGGTCAGTACCATAGCCCCAGTCTCACAGCAGGCCGCAGTTCTGTGAGCGTACAGCTGACTAAAACAACCAGCATGGCGTCCTTAACGTCTCAGAGTGGTGTGCAGGGCCGCCCACAGAAGGAGGGAAAACTAACCCAGCTTTGGGGCACGAGGGTGCGGAGAGTGAGGTGAGCTCTCCCACCTGTTCTTGTGCTAGAGCTGAGGTTTAAGGTGCTGACGGAAGTGACGGGAGCTGGGGAGCCAGGGAACAGAGCAAAGACCAAGACAGCATGCCATATAAAGGTGTAAGAAGACAGGGTGGAAAAGGGGGCAGGCGTCGCTCCCCGGAGTGTCCCATGTATGATGTTTAAAACTTTGAATCTGGGCCTAAAAGTGACAGGAAGCTACTGAAAAATTCCCAGTAGAGGAGTCCTAATCAAATCCAGATTTGAAAAGAGCAGTCCTGCACGGAGGTAGAGACTAGTAAGGGGTAGATGTATTCATCTAAGCCAGAAACTGGTAGAAGGATTGGAGGAGGGGATCAAGTTTATGGAAACTGGAGTTGGAAATAGTTAGATGGGAGAGGGGGCTGATGGAGGGGGAGGGTCGAGGATGATTCCTGTTTCTGACTTGAATAAATGAATGATGGAACCTCAATGAGATACAGAAGGAAGGAGGAAATGCAGAGTAGCAGAGATGACTGGCCTGATTTTGGAGATGTTGGGTTTGCAACTTGGTGAACCACTACTGAGTGGAGACTTCTTTAGATATTTAGGAGCATATATGTGAGTCGTTCAAAACTGTTAACTGAGCTTTTAGTTCATTTGCGTTTTTATCATTCCTCATCATTTTAGTTTGAACAACTTCCCATAGTCTCAAGGTATTTTTGACTGCACAGGTTACAGAAATGCTTGTTCCTCTTATAGTCTAGTAATTGTTAAATTCTAAGAGAACCTAAAATCAATCTCATTTTAAAAAACTTTTTCTGTTGAGGTGACATTTACGCAGAGGGAAGTGCTCACATGTTGCACGTACAGTTGGATGAACTTGTACCCACTGCTCAGAGTTCTAGCACCCCAGAAATCACTCCTGCTTCCCCTCTCAGTAAGACCCCATCAAAAGTAACCACTCCTCTGACCTGTATCATCATAGATTGGTTGGCTTGCTTTTGAATTCGGTTAAATAGAACCATAAGAAACATACACACAAATATATACTTTTCTTGTGACTG